CACTCAAAAACCTTTCAAAATCCTTGGTATCTCTCTTCACATACCCCCAAAAGTGTAAAATGTTCACCCTTGTCATTTGATGCTTCCCCAACGAACGCACAATTTCCCATCCACGAAACGCCCCACCATGAGTACTCCAAGCTCTGGTCAAATTGAGAGGGTAACTTTTCCAGAAACACTTTCCCACCTCAGGACACCTCCCTGCGTGACCGCCAGCCTGAACTGCGGTCCCGCCTCCAGGCCTTTTGCTGCCCTGTACGCGCCTATTCTTGGCTCTCCACCGTCCTTTGCCCCGAATTGTATTTTTGGCCCTTCTATGAAAGCATCTTTCAAAACCTCTATTGCATATTCTAAGTGATTATGACAAATATTTTTTCCTACAGAGTAAGTTCTGTGTTGCTCTCATCTTCTAGAACTTTGTAGTGGTGGACGTTCAGTAACATTTTGTTAAATTGAATGAAACCAGTGAAATCTTCAGACGGTGATTTGGAAATGGAGACAAAGGGAAGTCAACCGCACAGAACAAAAAGCCTTAAGCCACTGGAGGACCACTTTCTCCCAACGGAATGTCAACAAGGTGGACAACACTCAAATTTGACAGTGGAACCATGACTTCATCTGCTGGACTTCAGGCTGCAGACCGTTCTGGATCCGCACCGTTTCTCTCTTCAGAGCTGACGGCGGGAGCCAGAATCCCGGAGGGAAAGCTCACAGGGCACGCTTACCCAAAGCAATGGCTCCTTGGCATCTAAGCCTGAATTCGCATCAAAAATACAGCCTGGCCAACATGGCTAAACTCCGTCTGTACTAAAAATACAACAATTAGGCCAAGTGTAGTGGCTCACGTTTCTAATCTCAGCACTTTCGAAGGCCGAGGTGGGTGGATCACTTGAGGTCAGGAGTTCGAGCCTGCCCAACATGGCAAAACCCCATCTCTACTAAAAATACAAAAATTAGCCAAGTATGGTGGCTCATGTCTGTAATCTCAGCTGCTAGGGAAACTGAGGAAGGAGACTCACTTGAAGCCGGAAGGCGGAGGTTGCAGTGAGCTGAAATTGTACCACTGCAGCCTTGGCAATAGAGTGAGACTCCCATCTATAAATAAACAAATAAACTGAATAAAATCAAATACAAATACAAAAATTAGTGGGCCATGGCGGTGCACTCCTGTAGTCCCAGCTGCTTTGGATGTTGAGATGGGAGATCGCTTGAGCCTGGGAGGCAGAAGTTGCAGTGAGCTGAGATTGCACCACTGCACTCCAGCCTAGGTGACAGAGTGAGGTCCTGTCTCAAACAAATAAAAAAAAGTAACTAAGGGATGAGATTTAAGGTTTGGTGAATTTTAATTGATTTCTAAAAAATAAAGAGATGTGTGGTGTAGCCAAAAGAGCCCCAAGCTGGGGTTCCTGAGACCCCAGCCACAGGCCGTCACCTCGTCTTCCTTGGTCTCCGGGTCCTTTTCTGTACAACAAGGTGACAGACTAGGTGACTGTTGAGTCTCTTTCAGTTTGAAACTCAATGATTCCATGAACATTTTAATAAAAGCAATGAACGTTACTACAATAGCAACTTTAGGCTGACAGAGAGAGCAAGTGAGAGAACAAACACCAGGCTCTGTGCTCAAACTCCTGATGCTTCCATAACGATCACGGGTAGCTTCCTAAACCGGCTGCAGTGAGGTTCCTGCAGATCTGCAATCACCCCATCCCTCTGGGTACGTGCTCTTAGAGGTCCAATCTTCAGCACCAACAAGCTCTTTGCAGGCCTGTTCGTTTTTCATTTCGGATTTCAAAGCCTGGACTAAAATGTAAGTTGGGGTCCTGACTTGAGAATCATGCTACCTGCGTGATGACATGTGATACTGAGAATGGCCGAACGCTGAACTTCCCACGGGATCAGCTCAGCGTCCAGTATCTAGCCCTCCCTGTCAGTTACCCCAACAACCAGGCAAGGACACCAGTTGCAAGGGTACAGCACCGTAATACCCAAAGACTAGTAAAAACCTAAGTGCCCCAAAATAGAGAAAAGCCTCAGTAATGTGTGCAGGGGAGCAGCACACAGCAGCGAAAGAGGAGGCAGATGTAGATGTCCTGACCGTTCCTTGAATAATATTAAATGACAAAGTAAACTACAGAAACTTGTGTTGAGTGTGATCCCATTTTGTCTGCTATTTGCTTATAGGCATATGTAAATATGTGTTCATGTATAAACTCTTATGAGTATAAAAAAGTGTCTGGAAAAATAAGCAGTGAATTACTTATAGTGGATACCCCATGGGATAGATATGGGGTGGATTTCACTCTTCCCTTAGGTTCTTTTGAATGGTTTAAATTTTTGTCAATGAGTGCAACATGATAATATTTCTTTAAAACCTAGTATTCACAACTATCTGTTATAAAAGTATACATATCTGCCAGGCACAATGGCCCATACCTGTAATCCCAGGATTTTGGGAGGCCAAGGTGGGCAAAACACTTGAGCCCAGGAATTTGAGACCAGCCTGGGCAACATAGTGAAACCCCATCTCTACTAAAAATACAAAAAATAATTAGCTGGGCATGGTGGTGCGTGCCTGTAATCCCAGCTACTCAGGAGGCTGAGGCAGAAGAATTGCTTGAACCCAGGAGGCGGAGGTTGCGGTGAGCGGAGATCGCGCCATTGCACTCCAGCCTGGGTAACAAGAGCGAAACTCTGTCTCAAAAAAAAAAAGAAAAAAAAAATACAAAACCCCATCTCTACAAAAACACAAAAATTAGCCAGCATGGTGGCACATGCCTATGGTCCCAGCTACTGGGGAGGCTGAGGTGGGAGCATCAATTCCGCACGGGAGGTGGAGGCTGCAGTGAGCCAGGATCACACCTCTGCACTACAGCCTGGGCAACAGAGTGAGACCACATCTGAAAAGAAATAAATAAATTATACACATATCTTATGTAGCCAAAATTATCATGCTTCATCCAGGCCCACTATCAAAATCTCACTATCTGAAGTTCTGCCATCTAAGATTACTTAGAAAGTGGGACACCTCAGGCCAGGCGCAGTGGCTCACGCCTGTAATCCCAGCACTTTGGGAGGCCAAGGCAGGCAGATCACCTGAGGTCAGGAATTCAGACCCGCCTGACCAATATGGAGAAACCCCATCTCTACTAAAAATACAAAATTATCCAGGCGTAGTGGTGCATGCCTGTAATCCCAGCTACTCGGGAGGCTGAGGCAGGAGAATCACTTGAACCCGGGAGGCAGAGGTTGCAGTGAACCAAGATTGCGCTATTGCACTCCAGCCTAGGTAAGAACAAAATTTCGTCTCAAAAAAAAGAAACGAAAATAAAGAAGTGGGACACATCAAAACACATCTTGCATTTCTGAGTCTCTCTGGAGGTACAAAAGGTACTGACACATTTTTAAAACAGTATCAGACATGACAAGCTCTTTTTTTTTTTTTTTTTTTTTTTTCTGGAGTCTCAAGCTGTGACCAGGCTGGAATGTGCTGATGCGATTTCGGCTCACTGCAGGCTCCACCTCTTGGGTTCAAGTGATTCTCCTGCCTCAGCCTCCCGAGTAGCTGGGATTACAGGCACCTGCCGCCATGCTAATTTTTATATTTTTAGCAGAGACAGGATTTCACCATGTTGGCCAGGCTGGTCTCGAACTCCTTCGAGTGATCTTCCTATCTCAGCCTCCCAAAGTGCTGGGAATACAGGTGTGACCCACCACATCCAGTGGACAAGCCCTCTTCTTAAAATATATCCGTGGTCCTCAAAGGCAGTTAACACTGTGAGCCACCTATCCTAGCTGTAAATTAAAGTTTAAGTAAGATTTCCCCTGGGTATGTTTCTAAAGCAAAGAATCCTTAGGAATGTATTATTAAGAGGGGCCAGAAGCAACAGTAATGGAGTCATCACCTTCCTTAACATGCCTGCTTAATATCCGAAAATAAATGTGATCATACAACTCCTTTACACGAATTACTTCTGCCAATTCACACTGTAGGATCAAAGCCAGACAGCCGACCAGTAAGAGAAGGAATCTAGATTGGGGGACTGGGGGCAGAGGAGAGCTTTTTAAAATGGAGAAATGCATTCTGAACCAAAGTAGCAGGATTATATTTGTTCAGGTCAGCTATGAGCATCCAGTGTCATTTTCATAGCATACGTAAGTGTGGGGAATGTTAGAAGGTGTATGGACAATCTGAAAACGCAGTTATCCTTCAGTTAAAGTGAGGATCAATTAGCTAGAAAATACCTGTGCATACCAGCACAAACCAAAGGATACTGTGTGACTCACAAAAAACCTCACAAGAAGGGGTCCTTTAAGTCACCACACCTCCTGACCCCTTGCTACTCACAATGTGATCAGTAGACAAACAGTATCTGATGGGCAGCACCCACCACAGGAGAACTTCTTAGAAATGCACAACCTCAGGACCTTCCCCAGAGCTATGGAAAGAGGGTGCACATCTTACCAAGATCCCAAATGATTCCGGTGCTCAGTGACATTCGAGATGCACTTCATGACTCATTCACAGCCATTCTACAACTTTTGAGCTATCCACTAATTGGGCAGGGGCTGCACACACCGTCATCGCAGATGGGTAGGGGTTTTGCAGTTCTGAATGTTCCCTGTTTCTGGCGGCATGACAACTGTCCCAGCAAGGGGCAGCCCACGGGAGCTCCTCTGGACATGAGCCCCGCTGCTCCTAAGAGCTCTGGACACACAGGCGACCTCCTAGCCTGCTTGGGGTGGGGGAGCGCTCGCTCCTAACAGGTCTTGTTTCAGGTCAAAGAGATACTGAATTAGAAACCTGCCTTGGGACTCCAATTCCAGAAAGAGTGAAGGAGGAGAGAGGGCTACCAGAGAGTGAGCGAGAGAAGCGCTCAGACTCAGACGGACAGACAGAGGCTGACGACAGGTGGACCAGAGGGCCCAAGGGCGGCCCGCCGGGCAGGCTCCCCACGTAGACAGACAGACAGGACGGGGCCCACGGCCGAGGCCCGACTCACAGGTGCGCGATGCCCGCCTTGCGCACCGCGGAGGAGATGGCTTTGACGGCGGTGCAGAGTGAGTTGAGCAGCTGGGTCAGCTCGCCCGTGCCGCGGGCCTTCCTGCCCTCCTCCATGACGAAGCGGGTCAGGGTGCTGACGTCCGTGTCGAAGGGCGCCTGGTCTGCCATGCTGTAGCCGGGCCGCGCGCGGAGCTGCAAGTGCGGGTGGCAGGTGCAGGCGGCAGGTGCGGGGCTGCAGGCGCGGGCGGAAACAGAGGGTGGCAGGCACGCGCTGCAGGTGCGGGGCTGCAGGTGCGGGGCTGCAGGTGCGGGGCTGCAGGTGCGGGGCTGCAGGCGCGGGCTGCAGGTGAGGTCGGCGGAACCTGGCAGGAGGACTGACAGACCGACTGCCGCCCCCAGTGTACGCAGCGCTCGCGGTGCAACTGGGCCAGGCCGGGCGCGGGCGGGCGAATTGGGGAAAACTCCTCTAGGCGCTGGATCGGCCCCCCGCCCCCAGGAACACCCTCGCGCCCCGCCTCCCTGCGGCCCAGACCGCGGCTCCGCCCGCTCCGATCGTCCGATAAGGTCGGGATCCTCCCGGCCGTCTCCCAACCCCCGCCCCCAGGCACCCTGCCGCCCCTACGCTTCCTGGGCTGTCGCCCCGCCATCCCTCCGTGCCCGCCACCTGCACTGTGGAGCGGAACTCGGGCCATCGGTCGCCACTGGGACCCTGACAGAGACAGAGCGCTATGGCTGTTTCCTCCAAAAACATAAAACGGAAGTTCAGGCAGGTTAAGTAACTTGTTCAATGCCACCAGCTAGGCAGCGAAATCCCCAGGCTCCCGCCCCGTGTGGCTGTCCGCCCGCCCCCTGCCCAGGCCCTGTCCACCTGCCTGGCCTGTCACCTGGCTCTTCTGTCCCCACTAGGAGACACAGATTCCTCGTTTCTTACCCATCTGAGGGCCCACGTCTGAATCCTCAATCCAGGCCTCTTCTCAAGATTCCTAGATTTCAAGAGCTATTGAGGACTTGAGTTTCCAAGATGTGAGTCTCCCAAGGAAAGCGGTGACTGACAGAGTTCCCGACCAGAGGGCTCCACAGCCTGCATCCTGACCCGTTGGATGCTGATTCCGGAGCAGCATGTACTGAGCACCTGCTGTGCTGAACACTCTCCTACCTTCCGGGGTGGAGCCTGATCAAAACAGACAAAACTCCTGCCCTCTTCAAGTGTATGTTTTAACAAACATACAGTGAAAATAAATAAAGAGATAGATTCATTTGTTACATGTGCCGTAAGTGGCACAGAGAAAAGCAAAATAGGAGAGGAAGACAGGGAATATTCAGGGGAGAAGAGGGTGAGCAGAGGTCCCGGTAAAAGCTTCCCTGGGAAAGGGAAATGTGAGCAGCAATGAAGGATGCAGCCCACCAGTGGAGACGGAGAGGAGAGTGTCTTCCTCACCGGGAGAGCCAGGGCACAGGCCCTGGGGTAGGAGAGTGTGTGTCAGGTTCAGGGAATGGCCAGGAGACCAGTTGAGCTGAAACAGCTAGCAAAGGGGTGAGGCGGGGGAGGGAAGGTCCAGTGGGGGGATGCAGGGGTGAGGTCTGGAGGGCCAAGTAAGGTTTGACTTTGACTAGGAGGAACTCACAGGAGAGTTTGCAGGAGAAGACAGGCATGATCTACCCCGTGTCTTCATACTCCGGCTACTGTGTCAAGATCAGGCTGAAGACAGTGCCCACCAGGTTACTAGGAGCTACTGAGCCAGGTGTTAGCAGTGGAGGTGGTGGGATGTGGCTGGATTCTGGACATATTTTGAAGGTAGAGCTTATGGGATTTGTTGACAGATGAGATATGTGAGAGACAGGAGCTTGGGATGACTTAAGGTTTGAGGCCTGAGAAACTAGAATGAGGTTGTCCTCAACTGTGATAGGAAACACCAAGAGGGGCATGTGCTGGGGGCGAGACTGACAATTAGGAGCTAAGTGTGGGACCTGCTAAGTTTGAAATGCCTTCAAGACATCCAAGGCAATGTCAAGTAGACAGATTTATGCATCTGCAGTTCAAAGGGGAGATCTATGTTCCAAGTATAAGTTGGAAAAGCCAAGTAGGAAAACCAAGAGATGGGACATCGAGGAAGCCGGATGAAGAAGGCAAGTCAAGCCGGGCTGACCCACGTGCCAAGCGCTGTGGATGGGGCAAGCAGGACGAGATCTGAAAATTGACCACGGGATTAATCACAGAGACCTGGGGTGCAGACTCCTGTGCCCAGGGGTGTCAGATGCAGCAGCAGTGGATGGGGGAAGGTGGGGGTGCCACCAGGAATGACCATGACTTCTCCTCAAGGCCCCAGAGGGGACTCACATGCCCAGCAGAGAGAGCTGATCCTTTAAGGGTCTTTATTAACTCTGTTCCTCAGGCAACTTTTCAGAAAAAAACTTGGGTTTTTTTTTTTTGTTTGTTTGTTTTGTTTGTTTTTTTTTAGAGAAAAGAGAAGAGAAATACATCCTTAAACATAAAAACTGAAATAGAGACTGAGGGGAGCAGATCACTTGAAGTCAGGAGTTCAAGACCAACCTGGCCAACATGGTAAAACCCCGTCTCTCCTAAAATACAAAAATTAGCCGGGCATGGTGGTGTACACCCGCAATCCCAGCTACTCAGGAGGCTGAGGCAGGAGAATCGCTTGAACCCAGGAGGTGGAGGTTGCAATGAGCCAAGATCCTGCCACTGCACTCCAGCCTGGGCGACAAAATGAGAGTCTGTCTCAAAAAAAAAAAAAAAAAAAAACTGAAATGTGGTGACTAGTATTTTTGGCATAGTAACTAGGGAGAGCTAGAGCTAGTAACGAGAGGAGTTTGCCCCTTTCTCAGCACCTCAGCATCTTGGATTGGCTAGGACCCTAAAAGTCATCTAGTCCAGCCAACCCTCACTGGACACCATCCCTGATAAGAGGTGAAGAGCTTGGGATTTGCATTAAGCAAAACTGTTTTGAGTCCCAGCTCCAGCCCTCAGCAGCCAGAGATCACGGGCCAGTTACTTAATCTTTCTAAATCCATATAGAGGAATGGTGGTTCCATCTGGCAGCGGTGTCATCGGGCTGAAATGAGATGGCGTTGGCAGTGCGTAGCTCAGACTTCCACGCAGAGGACACGCTACATACATGGAGGAGACCCCTGTCTAGCTTGGTCACTTCTACCTGTCGCTCACAATGATGGGCAGCTCATCGCCTACAAGGCAAGCCATTCCCCTTGGGAATAGGCCACGTCACGTGGTGGTGAAGTGCACTGACTCTGTGGCTGCATGGCCTCAGTCCAAATCCTGGCCTGGTCACTTACCAGCCATGCAAGCTTGTGCAAGTGGCTGAACTTCACCAAGGAACCGTGGCTCATCTGTAAAATGGGGCTAATGACTGTAGCCACCTCAAAGGGTTGCCAGGAGAATTATACAGGCAGTGCTGGTAGTGTTTCAGAACGGTGTCCAGTATGTATTAAGTACACATTATGTAAGTGTTTGCCTCATGGCCAGGCGCAGTGGCTCACGCCTGTAATCCCAGCACTTTGGGAGGCTGATACGGGTGGATCACGAGGTCAGGAGTCTGAGACCAGCCTGGCCAATGTGGTGAAACCCCATCTCTACTAAAAATACAAAAATTAGCTGGGTGTGGTGGCAGGCACCTGTAATGCCAGCTACTCGGGAAGCAGAGGCAGAAGAATCACTTGAACCCGGGAGGTGGAGATTGCGGTGAGCCAAGATCGCGCCACTGCACTCCAACCTGGGTGACTGGGCAAGACGCCGTCTCAAAAAAAAAAAAAAGTGTTTGCCTCATTACATGGGTAGAGCCAACTGTTGTTCTCATGTGAACAGAAGCAAGAAAGATCCCTGGCCATCAAAAGAGGCTGGAGGCATGTGGGAATCGGCAGCTGAGCCTGTATTTGCCTGGTATACAGTGATATCCCCTCCATCATATTGATGGATTGTGACTAGCTCTTTTCTGGGTCAAGATGCATAAAGCCCACCACCCAGGTGTTAGCCAGAGGCAGAGGAAGGTGCAGGGTGGGAGGAAGGCAGCCACCTCGCATGGGTTCCAGGCCTGTGGGAGGGCCCCTCCTGCCTTCACCCACCACCCTTGAAGAGGTGCTTCTTGCCACACACTCCAACTTCATACAGTATTGCAGATTCAAGTGATGTGAGCAATGTTACCACGCACACGCACGTACACGCGCACGCGCGCGTGTGTGTGTGCGTGTGTGTGTGTGTGTGTGTGTGTGTGTTTTGAGACGGAGTCTTGCTCTGTCGCCCAGGCTGGAGTGCAGTGGCTCAATCTAGGCTCACTGGAACCTCCACCTCCTGGGTTCAAGCAATTCTCCTGCCTCAGCCTCCCAAGTAGCTGGGATTACAGGCGCCCGCCGCCACGCCCAGCTGTTTTCTATTTTAGTAGAGGCGGGGGGTTTCACTGTGTTTCTAGTCGCTAACTTCTGAGCTCATGCAATCTGCCTGCTTCGGCTTCCCAAAGTGCTGGGATTACAGGTGTGAGCCACTGTGCCTGACCACCATGTGTGTAACACTCTAAATAATGTGAAAAAGCAGTGGTGATGCATTTCCTCACCTGGCTCCCACGATGAGGTCATGTTGGAGGAGGGCAGTGGAGAAGTGACAGTCTGGACATCTCTGTCCCTGTGCCAGCCACCCTCCACCTAGGGCTAGGCTGTTTACTTTCCCTCTGTGGGGGTGGTTAGTGCCACAGGAAAGAAAAACCAGCCAGGCGCAGTGCTGCCCATGCCTGTGATCCCAGTGCTCCGGGAGGCTGAGGCAGGGGGACCGCTTGAGTCCAGGAATTTTAAAAGCAGCCTGGACAACATAAGGAAAACACTGTCTCTACAAAAAATTTAAGAATTAGCCAGGGGTGGTGGCACATGCCTGTGGTGTCAGCTACTGGGAAGCTGAGGCAGGAGGACTTGAGCCCAGGAGGTCAAGGCTGTGGTGAGCCACGCTCACACCACTGCACTTCGGCCTAGGCAACAGAGCGAGACTGCGAGACCACGTCTCTAACAAAAAGGCAAAAAGACACGTGGTGCGTGTGAGAGGGATGGCAGCAGCCTGGTGCTTCCTTAAGCACAGCCCCCAGCTCCTGTGGCCTTGGGGGCCTGGTGCTGAAACGAAACAGCAAACATCTATTTAGCGCTGGCTAAGGCGGCGGCACTTGCCCAGGGCTTCAGAAGCAGCTTATCATCAGCCCAGCACCTCTCAGGGTGGCTGCTAATCAAACCCCTGTCTTTACAGATGAAGGGACTGAGGTCTTTCAACATCAAATAACTCA